AAAACCTGTCAGTAATTGTTATTTCCAACTTTAGCTCCTGAAGCTCGCCGCCGCCGTTCTTCTGCAGCCAGGGCACCCCAGAGCGAGGATGCTGCCAAACCCAGCGCATTTATGCGCCGGAAGGCCTATGATGCAGCTCGTAGGCTCTCGTTCGCTGCATCAAGCCCTCTTCCAACACTACAGGACAAAGGAACTTTGTTTTCGACGCCGTCCTCCTCCTCCTCCTCCATTTCAAGGCCTATCTTCAAAGGCGTGAAACACCTGCCGGGAAAAGATGGAACTCCCAGTGCGGCGGCTCGTCGCCTTCGCGATTCTCAGGCCCAAGCTCAGCGTCGTCGGGCTACGCGTTCTGTGGCTGCTGATAAGCGGCGTGGTCTTCTCTAAAAACTTTCTACTTAGAACACTTCCTCTTTTATACCTCTTATTTTTTAAATTATATTTCTTAGATTGCCCCTTTATTGTATTGACATTAAACGCCCAGAAGTTAAAATTGTTTTCAGATAAGCAATGGTTTTTTATATGGGCAGGTTCACACGTTTTCCTGTTAGCCAGCGCCAGCATTTTGCGTTGGGGACCGAAGTCGCTTTCCCAGCCGGTAATGTGATTGTCGTATACTACTTCTGATTGAGAAACTGGTTAATGTGACGGCTTTCGTCCACCGCCCGGTGATCTTACCTGTTTCCAGGTGGTTTCAAAGGCCGTGGAGGTTTTTAAATTAATTGGAATAATAAATTTGATGGAGATTCTTATACACATTGACTGATTGCTTAGCGGAGAATTCGGCCGCCGGTACGGCAGGAGGTTTTGTTAATCTTTCACCATTCATTTCTGCTCGAAAATGCCGTTAGCATGGCTTCTTTATCGGATAAACATTGCCGGCAAAGAAAAAGGAGACGAGAATGATAGTTTCTGGCTTATTAGCTCTCGTCAGCCAGTCATCCTCAATCCCAAGTTGTGTACCACATGATCTGTTGATTAGACGCTCTATGGTCTAATTATTGAGGCACGGACTCGTCGTCTTGCGGGTTTAAATCCTAATCCTTGCGGCGGCCTATCACCCGGAGGCAAAGTTATATGCTTCCGAATGAGCTGCTGAGGCGGAAAAATGCGCGTTCGTATGCTGCCGTGGAGTGCTCCAAATTTGGTCACTGGTGTCTATTCGACACTGCCTGAGTAAGTGGGTAGACCGAATTCAGAGGTGAATGAGGTCTGATGTGTTTGAGTGAAGTAGTTAAAAGTCATCCCGACATCCTATCCCGTGTATTGGTAGTTTCGCGGAGTGTCACCCATGGAGACAAGTGACACTACATTGTCATTTAATTAGTACATATTCAGTATCAGTATATTGAGGGATATGTAGGAGAAATTTCCTTTGAGTGCCCTATTTGTACATATGTGCAGTGGTAGCAGGAAATTTGT